ATGTAACCTTAAAACACATATTATCAGTATTAATAAAAAGTGCGTATGTGTATTTTTACACCGGGTGTTAGACCGCCGTGCGTGCACGGCGTAAAACCATCTAGTCTTATATATATACAAATAAGTTTGTGCCCTTCTATGGGCGACACGTGTCCAATTTTGTTGGCCTCAAAAGCTGACAAGTGTCCTCTTTTTTTTACATTTTTGCCCCAACATTGTGCATTGCACTTTGTTTTGTTTTTTGTTTTTTTAATTGAACCGACTTAAAAACATGTCTTTTAGTCAACCTTTTTGCCATAATTTCCGCACGCACGCAATCAGTCTTTTCATTTACCTGCTCCTTTATTTCTCCGCAAAGTGAAAAAAAATGGCGACAATTCCTTTCATTTCCAAACTATTTTTCTCTCCTCACTTTTTGGCTCCCATCGAAAACAATATCTCCCACACGCAAATCTCAGTCAACTCAGACATTTCTCTCACAATCTCTCCTACTCGACAGTCGTTTGTGAGACGGATGAAAGGTGTCTTGACGCGGGCGTCGCTGGTGAGGGTGACGTTGGAAGGGCGGGCGGCTCTGAACGCCGGTATGACTGGCGACATCCGTGCTTGGGTCTTCTTGACTTACACGCAGACGATTCGAAAGGTTTTTTCCTCAGCCTTTAGTATAGTTTGGATTATTATTGTTGTGTGTGTTGTAATGGTTATTTCGTGCGAGGAAGAAAAGAAGGATTTATTTTGGCATTCTTTTATATTTTACGAGCATCGGATGAGCACAAGGCCTAGGAACGTGGTCGCTTGGAGAAATTAGCCAGAGGGTACGCAATATTGAGGTTACCGCCATAAAGGAACAGTTTCTGGGGTCCAAGAAGCCCAAGAAGAGGATGTGGTAAGAAAAAATATTGCATTTAATGTTCAAAGCTCACAATCCTATTATTCAATTCTCTATGTTCATCCTTTTCAGCGAGCCCTAGCCTTCTCCCGCATGAACAAAAGATTAGCTATGACTGGACAAAAGGTTTTGAGATTATATTAGTTATGGGGTTCAGATCCTCGTGATCAAATTCATATCAGCATTGAAGTTCTGTAATATTTCAAGATATTTAATTTGACCTGAAAAACGTCTAAATCAAGCTCTCCTGAATTTTATTAGCAATATCATCTATAAGGAAAGTCCTAAAATTCCAAATAGTTCAATTTAAGCAATTTAATTGACATTGGCAAAATTGGCATCGAAGTAAATATGTTGCCTAAGTGAACTTATGCGTCATCATAGTATCATGTCCACGGAGTTTTATGCATTTCACTTTGACTGACGAATGCAGCTATATGCAGGGTATACATAAATGAACTTTTGGTGGTCCAGAAGCGTGGAAGTGGCTTTCGCATGAAATGCTTTATTTTTTGTCTTCTAGGCTTTTACTAAAGATACCTATATTTGGCTCTGCAGATTGGGCAAAATGTGCTGTGATAGTAATGGAAAGGACATTTTCAGTTTTGATGGAGGAGATATCAGGGCCATATATTCGTGTGTGTTATTGTTGGTAGGGCTTGTAATGGTATATTGATAGAGCATTTACATATTCCTTCACACATTCTTGTAGTTTAAGTTGTTTTAATTTGGAATGGGTATCTTATGAGTAGAATTTTTTTTGGCTCTTGTCCTTTACTTATGTCTAAGTTTATCATCTTAATCCTTCTCCTTTTTATTTCTCGAGTGTATGGTACTTCTGAGTACGCTTAGTTGGTTTAATTTTAATCTATATATTTGTAACCTTCAGGGAGAACAAAAAACTGACAGGGACAGCACGATATGCCAGTATGAACACTCGCCTGGGCATAGGTTGGTCAGTTTCTATTTTTTCATGTTTTCATATTGACCTATTACTCTTTAGTCTTATTAGTTGAATATAACTTGTTGAGATGCAATGATGTTTTTTTGTAGAACAAAGCAGGAGGGATGATTTAGAATCTCTTGGGTTTGTCTTGATGTACTTTATAAAAGGAAGGTAATTTTTGAAATATTTTAGACCCTAATATCATATTGGTTATTGCATTCTATGGTTTGACATCTCTGCTCCACAGCCTACCATGGCAGGGACTAAAAGCAGGGACCAAAAAACAGAAATATGAGAAGATAAGTGAGAAAAATGTGTCAACTTCTATTGAGGTAATTTCATCGTCAAAAAATATGGGTGGATGTACATACTATATGTGTATGTATTTTTAATGGCTGGGTTTAAATGCAGGCACTGTGCCGAGGTTAACCCACTGAATTTGCTTCGTATTTCCATTATTGTCGTTCGCTGCGTTTTGAAGACAAACCAGATTATGCTTATCTTAAAATGATATTCCGTGATCTCTTCATCCGTGAAGGTATGGATATTTGCTTAATTACTATGTTAGTTTCACTAAGAGCTGTCTCTGGGATCCAATTCATTGAGCTCAAAATTCTCTAAATAAAAACTCTATGCCATGTTATTTCCATTCCAGGTTTCCAATTTGACTATGTATTTGACTGGACTATTTTGAAGTACCAGCAGTCTCAGATGGCCACTCCTCCTTCACGCACTCTTGTAAGTGGTTGAACCTGGGATGTTTTTCGAAGCATCATTTTCCAATTATATAATTTGTTGTAATTTTGTTTCAGGGCCCAAATGCCCGTACAAGCTCAGGACTCCCCCTGTAATTGCCAGTGGTGAGCGACCGCCAGATATTTTCCTATGAGTGTTCATTTGCCTTTACATGTTTTCAATTAAGTGCTTATCAAATTTAATAATTAGTCCTGTGAGTACATAGTAGCTTCTTATTATAACTAATTTTCCACCCATCGTGGGTCTAAAAGCACTCCTTTACCTCACCCCTCAAGTAAAACTTTTGTTATATATGTGATCTTAAGATGCTTCTCAGTTCACATTAACGCAAGTGAAGAAGAGGGGAGACTGGTAGGCACATCTTCAGCAGATCCTTCTAGAGGAAGAGGTTCAGGACAACTTATTAATGTTGGGAGCTTATCCAGACAAAATAGGTCCAGCTGCAAATGATTCAGCTAGCAAGGATGCTATGGTTAGCTGTGAATTTAGTCACAATTTTCATTAATTAGAAGCATCAATATTCTTTGTAATACTATGGAGAAGCTTTTGGAATCTGGTTTTGAATACTCGGTGCCGTGACCCCAAGTTTTATGGGTTTCCTTGTGATATATTTTCGACTCAAATGGTTATCCTGAAAGGTGTCCAAGAATTGTCATTAACTAACATATAATCCGATCCGAAAAAGGTCAAAGGCAAATAGTCATGCAACTCCAATTATATTGGTTTCCTTTTAGAAACTAGATTGAATATGCATTCTGCAGAAAGGGTGCACTACAGTATTGAAAATTGCTATATCATGAGGATCATTAAGACTATATACCAAAATATGCTGATTTTTGTAATCGTCAATAATTAAAATATCATACTTCAGCGAAATATTCCGGAGAGTACGTGTTGACATATCTGACCAAGACCTGCCATTGTCTCTTTCAGTTACGTCTTCTCTACCTCCTTTTGCAACTCGGCCGCGAAGAGACCATGTTCCTTTCCCCTTTTGCAAGAAATTTGGGGGAAATTGCAAGAGGTGATGTTTATGGTTTTTACTTTGTGCTTTTGAATTCAACATATGGGTTTGCTTTCGGACCGTAATTTTCCGTTCTTCAACAATTGACTAAGGTCCATTGAAAAACATATTCTGCATTTTGAAGTGATTGCAAAAATCCCAAGAAGATGCAAAACTATCGATAGTTTGTAGAACATAAACCGTTCATATAGTTTTGTTGCTCTCTTACCTTGTATCTTATTTCTTATTATATTACTCATTACATTTGTAGGTTCATAGCTCATTGCAGAACTAAATGAGATTTGGCTCATGAAGTTGTGGATGAGGCTGGACACTGGAAAAAGAATCTTAGCCCTCAATATCTAGAGCTTTTTGATTTTCTGCCCACTGCAATCCAAGAACAATTGATGCTCGAGAGAGATCATCATGGAAATGTCCAGGTATGAGTTTTTTCTATCCGAGCTTAAGCTTCTAGGACTCTTAATTGCGGTCATGTTTTGCATGGTTTGGATGTTATATTTTTTAAGTAATGTAGTTTTATAATAATTCTATATTTCAGTTGATCTTTAATGACCCTAATGACCCTATCGTTAACAGTTTTTCTTCAAGGCTTGCAAGTAAATTTCTTAATTATGAGTTATGTCCACATAAGTTAGTGAGAAATTTTCATGTCTTTTTTTTTAATGTTGCAGAAAAGTTCAGTCGATTTATTCTGCCTGGGACTGGCTTTGAGATGCCTTTGTATACACATCGATGATGAATTATCCAACAAAATCTAACTTCAGGAAGCCACTTCTTGCTTACCCGGTTAAATAAGTACATACGGCTAAAAAATTCGTGATAATTTATGGATTGCAAACTTAATTCAAATTTTTTTAATTATTTCTTTTTCATTTTTTTCCTTAATGAAGATGTGTAAGATTATCGATCGATCACCCCCAGAAGCTACAAAGCTAACTAGAGTCTTCGAAGCTGATAGCTTATATTACAATCACTCGCGAAGTGAAAAATGCTTCGAGTTAGAAAACAAAACCGATGATCATGGCCTCCATAGTTGGGATTGGCAGGTAATTGTTAAGTGGCATTTTGAAGTAGAAAATGGGATTATTACTAAGAAAAGGAGGAACTCCTTTTTTCTTAATCTGAACTCGAACACTCAGGCATGCACCGAGATGGTAATGTCGATGGCAATCTCGAACGAGAGCATGTTCCAGCCATCTTCATTCAGTTACAAAGACTTCTCGGATAATTGTAAGAAAGATTTCGGAGTTACCCCTCGACAGCATAGGATCACGACTGAATTTGGTGGCTCAGGTGAGTATTTAATTTTACATTTCCTTTAATTTTAGTGCATTATTGGTGTTTTAAGCATGTAAAAGATTGAATAAGAATCTTCTTTACTTATTTATTATATTTTTAATTGTCTTAATAGAACATTTAACAAGTGCTGAAGAGATTTGGCAGCAACATTATATTTTCCAGTGGACTGCAGGATCCTTGGAGCAGAGGCAAGTTGGTTCGAAAAGAAAGAAATATAAACTACTTTCCTATACAAAATTTTTGAGTAATACAAAAAAGATGACAATCAAAGATTGCAATTGAAGTACACAAATTTACAAGAGTTCATTAAAATCGTAAATATAATATTTGGTATATCATTTGATATATTTATAGAGTTTATATATGTTCATATATATATATAATATATATATATATATATATATATATATATATATATATATATATGCTCATTCGTGAGAATTGTGGCCTTCTGGACGACGTTATAAGATTATATTGTGACATTAGCACTCAAATCTTTCCTGAATGGCACACATGATTTGGACCTTTGTTTTAATTATGTAAACTAAACAACTACTATGAGGAAAAGTAGCTGCTATGATTAATGAATTTGACTTGTGCAGCAGCAAAGTAT